ATATATTTATTATGCCTGAGTAATTTAAATGTTTTGAAACTGTCGCAATTTCATATTCATCCATTTGGTGATGTTCCAAATTTCTAATTAATCCATTTTTTCATTTGAAGATGGCAATGGATATGTGATATTTAGAGGAATCCTCTCTAATTGAAGCCAAATTGTATTGAAGAGTAAAATGCCTGTGTTCAAATCATATATTCTTTAAATTACCTTATGTATATTATCAACCTACCAACCCAAATGAAATAGTGGGCATTTTCAACCAACAACTTGGAGAAATAATATTTCTTTGACCTTTATAGTGTACAAGTAGCCTAAGTAGAGTTTATACAAAGGACATCGTGTTGATATCCATCATTACCATTTGCATTAATTATATTGTATGCATTACCTTGAAAATATTTTATTTGATGGTTTACTCCTCAATTTTTATCTTATGAAAGGATTTTTAATTTTTAAAAATATCTTTAGTCTTATTGAAAAGAAAATATTGTTGACCAATTATTTTTAAAATGATTTACTAGGCTTTTGCTTATCTTAAATATTTTTACAGAGATAATGCTTAACCAGAAATAGAGATGATCTTCTATTTTGTTAAAAGAAGGCTATACTATTGAAAATGCATTTGTGTTATTTCATTTATATAACTTTTCTTTTTCTGTTTTTAATTTCTTATACCTCCTTATTTTTCTTTTCCTTTTCAAATTTTGCATATGTACATCTGATAATCTGAACAACTAATTTGGAGACAACATTATGCAACACAAGAAATGCTGTCATATTCATATTATTTTGTTTAGTGAAATTCTGCATCATTTATATTATTTCATTTTTATTACTGTTTTCTATTCTCTTTAAAATTAAAAATATGTAGTACTGCTGAAATATATTTTTTGGTAATATCTTCATTCCCTTAATTTCAGTTTTCACAAGTTTTTCACAAAGAATAGCATAATTTAATATTTAATGAATTTGTATACAAATCTTGTGATTAAAAAGAATTTTTGATAACCAGACAAACAAAGACATATAGACATAGGCCACATTTCTATAATCTGTCCCATGGATTAATCTATATCTTTAGTTTTTCCTGTAAATAACGTGCTTTTTAAGTACTGAAATATTCTATTTCTATAGATTTTGCATATTTCAGAGTGCTTGTGTAATATTTGTCATTGATATTAAATTACTCTTTTAGTTTTTCATTAGTGACAATATTGATAAACTTTTTAAACTATCATTTGTAAAACACTTTTCAATACTTTTACCTCTTTACTAGAATTTTAGGGTTTTTAAAAATATTTGATTGTAAGTTTCACTAAGGTTGTTTCTAATACACACATTTCTCAAAAATCCTTCATATATCTACTTTACATTGGAAATCATTTTTTAAATTCTCATTTGCTTAGCTTTTGTGTGGGGATGGTATCAGTATTTTATTCAGTTGTTTAGGTGAATACTTTCACCTGTAATAGGAGAGTCATACCCAATTGTCTTTTCAATTATTTTTTTCTTCCATGTCTTAATTTGCTGAACATTTAATGTGTGGCTTAGAAATTCCAAAACAATTCTACATAATTTAGATGTTAACAAAGAAATACTGTTTTTAATCTTTCAATGAAAATGCTCTGGATATAGAGCTTCTTTAAGAAGCTTCATTTCCCAACATTCAAAGGAGACTGCACTTTGTCAATAGTGTGTTTCATTTTCTTAACAGAAATCACTCAGGAGGGGAAGGGTGGGGGCAACTGGCGCTGGCATGAATCTTGTAAAGGAGGGTGAACTTGCATTCCTGACCTCACCCATTTGCACTGTGACTCACTGCTTTACTCCTTAAGCAAAATAGAAGTTTAGGCCTGAAAGAATTTCATTTTTATCTTTAGTTTTATCTTCAGGTAACAAGTACAATTATGTATATTCATAGATTCAATGTATTATGCTATGACATATTTACATTACCTACTAGTTAAATAAAGTGGCCTGATATAGCTGTCACACCTGTGTTTCTTCGCATACATGACAGTGGACAGAAATTTTGTTTGGGATGCACTTAAGGAATAATTTTAAGGAAATATCTTACTGTTCACATAAAACATTTAAAATGATGCTTCTTAATACTGAATACTGTATGTATTTCAATAAATATATCATTATTCTTGAAAAATGTGAGGATATTTTAAATTATAACATTTTCTTTTACTATAACTTTATTTTATTTTGAAGAGTAAAAACAACAGCAAGAAAAACAAAAACAAAGACAAAGGGTAATATATAACAATACATATTTTACAGATTTTCAAAACAAGAAAAGCTGATTAACAATGATTGATATATCATCTAATTTTATTGTCAAATCTGCTGCTCAGATTAACAGATATATTTATGCAAGATGGGACATATTATTGAATGTTATGATATGCATTCAAGAAATCTTACATTTTTGTTCTTGTTTTTCATTGTCTTTTATTACTTTTTTAAAATACTACTTTAAAGAGACTATGGTAATAATTAATATGGCACTGAAAATTATACACATTTAGAAGACCAAGATGGTATGTATTTCAAGCAGGGTTTTAACATTACATATTGCTGTTCTCAATGTAGCTGCTTAGTTCACTGTTATCAGCATAGAGAGTTAGTCAAAGTGAGCATTCTACCCATTAACTGAATTTCAGTTGTTTAAAATATAAAATTTTATAAAGACCTACATGATATTGTTCTACACACAAGTTTATTCAGAATATATATCTATATCTATATCTATCTATCTATCTATCTATCTATATATATACAATCTTGATTTTAATGCTATAACAACTATAAAATAGCAGTGAAGCAACTCTTCTGTGAATGTTGTAAGATTACTCCACTCCTTCATAAGAAATTCACCCACATGATTTATCTAATCCCAATTATTTCCTAAAATGAATCTTCTAACATTATCACATCATTATTTATGTTCTAATTGAGTATGTGGAAAGAACACAAACTTCCAGTTCAAAATGATACAGGACTGTATTAGAAGTTGATCACTGATTGAGTCTTTCTTTAAGGACCTCTGTGCTCTCCATGCAGGCTTGACGCCAGCAGATACCAGAACTACTTGGCCTTCACTTTTGCCATAGAAGAGATCAACAGGAATCCTCATCTTTTACCCAACATTTCTCTGGGCTATGAGTTCCATAATTCCATTCACAGTCATTGGATGATGCTAGAGAATTCCTTCATTTTGCTCACAGGACAACATGAGATCCCTAATTACATGTGTGGGACAGAAAGCAAGTGTGCAGCAGTATTGACAGAAATGCCATGGGGAACCTCAGCTCAGATTGGACCACTGCTGGAGCTCTACAGATTTCCACAGGTGAGGGATGATGGGACAGGAAATGAGTGGAGCACATCCAGATCGCTTAAACTCTCAGGAACATAAAGCATTAAAAATGAGGTTGGGACGAAGATTGTTCAAAGTGTGCAATGCAGCAGAATCTGCACACAGAGATTTAGTGTGTTACACTCAATTTCTTTTCATTTTCTTTCTTTCTTCTTTCTTTCTTTCTTTGTTTCTTTTAATACAGAGGCAGGAAGCAAGTACATTTCTGGGATGTCTGAGAACATTTATTTATTTTTAAAAAGTCCTTTGAGGAGGGTGTTTAGAAAAGGGAAGAACATGTGTCTCATCCTACAATTTGTAGAAGTTACTCAGTTACAATTTCAGGATTATTATCATCAACAGTTCAGTGTATGACCCAATTTCATTTCCGTTTTAAGTTACGTTTGGCTCATTTGATCCTACACTGACTGACAATGACCAGTGTCCTTCTCTGCATCAAGTGGCCCCAAAGGACACTTATTTGGCCCTCGCCATGGTGTCCTTGATGCTTCATTTCCACTGGACCTGGGTGGGCCTGCTCATCACAGAAGGCCTTAAAGGTCTTCAGTTTCTCTCAGATATAAGAGCTGAGATGGATAGGAGCAGAGTCTGTGTAGCCTTTGTGAAAATGTTGTCCACAGTGGCTGTGTCATATATGTCAGCCATGAAGAAACATGACATCCTGACTGCAGATACAATATCTGCCAATGTGGTGGTCATTTACTATGATACTGATAGTCTAACTAATGTAAACTACAACATAGTGCAAAACTTAGTGACATGGAAAGTCTGGGTGACAAACTCACCATGGCATGCTGATATTTCTGGGAGAGATTTCGTACTTGATCCATTCCACGGGATTCTTGTCTTTTCACACCATCATGAAGAGATTTCAGGGTTCAAAACTTTTGTACAGGCAGCTACCCCTCTCAAATACCCAGAGGACACTTACCTCACTATGTATTGGTCCAAGAATTTTGATTGTTCATTCTCTGAGTCTGACTGTGCCTTGAAAAACTGTATACCTACTGCATCTATGGCTTGGTTGCCTCTGAATCGTTTTGACACAGACATGAGTGATGGGTGCTATAATATGTACAATGCTGTGTATGCTGTGGCCCATGCCCTCCATGCGATGCTTTTTGAAGACGTGCAAAGACCACCAATGAGAAACAGAAAAGTGGTGATGTATCCCCCGTGGAAGGTAATGTGTCTTTTCTTGGATGATATGCAGTGTCATCAAGGTACCTCTGTCATGATTTTCTACGTGCTTCACTCAGTAATATTAGGACAATTTCCACAAAATACAAGGCACTGAGAACCACATTTACGGCCTCCTTAGCAGTAAATGTGGTGGTTCTTGGTGCCTTGTATTTTGTAGAAATAGTCAAGACAAGTGCAGGCACACTTTGTTTTCTGGTCGAACAATTAAAATTGTTCAGCTGAGCAGAAATAGTCCTCCACCAAGGATCCACTGATAAAGAGGAAGAAACAGGTGGCCAGCTACTTGCTTCAGCCTGTAGGAAGGCAATGTCTTTCCCATGTAAACATATTACATGAAGTACTTAGAGCACAAGAAGAAAACCTGTAGTCACCTGTGAAACTAAATTGTGTTAAACCAAACAGTGTCCATGTTATGTGAATTTTTCGTTTAATTATGCAAACGTCTGACATTGATGAAGTCATTTTGCTGGTAGCTGCTGTGAAATACCCAGAGAGACAATGGAAGTTATGGGTTTTAGAAAGGTTGATTCCACAGCTGATGTTTTTTGTCTATCACAACTGTACATTTCATTTGGATGGGCTTGCATAGAATATGTTTTACTGAAAACGACATTTCTCAAGCTGTGCTATGTGTTAGTCCTGAGACATCCATGTGCTCCAATTAAATAGATACCAGTGTTAAAGTTGCTTTAAGTAAATGGGATTAAAGTCACTTAGGACCTTTTCCCACTATTATTTTCTATCTTTATCCTGCAAACCTGTTGACATAGGGTGATGTGTCTCTCTCAGCTGCATCCCTATCTGAAGAATATCCAATTTAACAATCCTGCTGGAGACAGAGTGAACTTGGATGACAGAAGGAAACTGGATTCAGAGTATGATATTTTCAACTTTTGGAATTTTCCAGAAGGCCTGAGACATAAGGCTAAAGTTGGCACATTTTCTTCACATGTTCTGCATGGCCAAAAGTTATCTTTATCTGAGAATGACATAGAGTGGCCCACAGGAGTTACAGAGGTATGTTGTACCAAGCCATGGCACACTTACTTAACCACAAGTAAGCTAAACACTGGCATAGGCTTTGTGCCCCCAATTTTGCTCATGCAAAGAAATGGTCACATGTGAAAGTTCAATAACAATAATAAGGTTTCAATTTGAAACATATTGTTTATAAGCTTTCTGATGAGTTGGAAAGAAATGTGTTCATTTAATTATATTTTTGTAAATGTGCATTTAATACTATCAAATAAATTCGGCATGCAATTATACACTTTTACTTGTGTAGATGTAGAAACTTAGTTTATCACGCTAGATCTGAAGAAGTTACTAAAGGTCTAAAAGTGACTACCACATTTTTTGCCTTAGACTCCCCACTCAGTATGCAGTGAAAGTTGCAATCCTGGATTTAGAAAAACTCTCAGGAAGGAAAGGCTTCTTGCTGTTTTGATTGCACCCCTTGCCCAGAGAATGAAATCACCAATATTACAGGTAGGAGCTTAACCATTGGACACATTCTCAGTTCATTTTGCATGCACTCCATGAATCCACGAAATAGAAAATATCTTGTAGAAGACAGCAATGGTAAAACTCTCCCTTCAGTTATCAAATTATTCATTGTATTGAGTGCTATTGCCTTGTTGGAAAACAAATTTTCACCTTTGAAATGCACTCAAATTCAATTTCCTTTTAGTTTGTTCTTATTAATCATTTTTAGGTTTTGTATCAATTGAACCAAACTGTACTCTGCCCATGGTCTATGTCTCCAGATATTCTTGGCTTTTTGAGATAGAATATCACCAATTTGCACCAGTCTGCCTCTAAGATTCATTTTTCCAGTCCATTGAAAGCATTATGTTCTCCAGACAAGACCATTCCTCTGCCCCACAGCTTCTGTTTAATTTCCATCATGATCTTTAACACTGAGTATGGGTAAAGCCAACTATTTCTAATCTTTGAAACCACAGCAAAATCATAGTCAAGAGAAGTGCAGGCACACTTGGTTTTCTGGTCAATGACATTCTTTACACAACGCGGGTACTTAATCACTGAATGTGATTGGAGATATGGGGACATTTTTGATGTACAATGTGATTTTATCACAGCACTATACAACTTCTAGGATTTAATGCCCATTCTCCTAGAGTGCATAGATGAGTGTAGAGAAAGCCTATGACATGCGTTAGGGTTTGCATCACAGAACTGCAAGCATGGTATGTACACAGAATAAGAGATTGAACAAAGGATACTATCTACATTTCAGGGGGCATTGTGGACAATTTTACAGAGGTGACAGCATTCACACTGTATCAGAATAAAAAAAAGGTGGCATAAACCCTTTGAGGATTAATAGAAGTGGTCAAAATGACATATTAAACATTCATGGATTATTCAAATATCCTACAGGAACATGCCATATTATTTAAAACCGATGAAATGAGGGTGAGGATTGAAATATATTGCAGAACATTTATAACATCTAATGTGGAACACTGTTGCATATCATAAATACCACTCTGGAACTATTTCACTATTTTACAAATAATGAAATGGTAGAATCACTTTAACTACTGAATATTTTCTAAATTGGTTTTGTGGATAAGGTAAATTTTAATTTCAAAACACATTTACTATGAGTACAAATGTTCTAAGAAATACACCAAGACTATGTACTATATAATGTAGCTATATTGAAGGTATGTTCTTCATAAAGTGTGGGAATATAATACTTAAAAAGTTCTGTGTCACACATAGAGGTTAATGAACCCCCGTAATATCAGTTAATACATGCTTCTGGTATGTGGAATTCTCAGGTACAGTGCAGAAAAGAGATCAAAACACAAGTTACAAATTTTCTGCAACTTAAAATCCTGTCCCATGAAGCAAAATTACACTGAGACAAATATTCATTCTATATTAAAAGTACTTATGTGCTGTTTCCTATTTGAATAAGCAGAAGTTGTGCTTTTGAAATATCCATCTAACACTAGAAAAAGTATGGGAAATTGAACAGAACAAAAATAAAAGATGGCATACAGTCCAAAGGGAATGTTTAAGAAACCAAGAGAAGATGAAAATATCCAGAATTAAGTGTGATCCTGGAAACAGAAAGCCATAGTCAAGACAAGTGCAGGCACACTTCATTTTCTGGTCGATGACATTCTTTACACAACGTGGTTTACTTAATCACTGAACGTGATTGGAGATATGGGGACATTTTTGATGTACAATGTGATTTTATCATTTCTCAAAATGGCATAATTAACAAGGGATGAGAATCTATCTATACGTATAGTTTCTGAGTTCTTTCTCACATACTGAAATAGAAAAATAAGAAAAATAAAAAAAAATTGATTTAGGTCAAGGGCAATGAGTTTCTAGGGATTTGTTTGTGAAGAAGAAAGAAAAAAATCATAAAGTGAAAATTTTGATATTGCTAGATATGGAGCAATGCTTGGCCTGTCCAGATCATCAATATGCCAATGCTCAAGGAAACCACTGTCTGAAAAAAGCTGAAACTTTTCTGGCATATGAAGACTCCCTGGGGAAGGCTCTAGCTGGTGCAGCACTGAGTCTCTCTGTTCTCACAGCTGCTCTGCTTGGGCTCTTTGTGAAGCACAGAGACACTCCCATCGTCAAGGCCAACAACAGAGCTCTCAGCTACACCCTGCTCATCTCCCTCACCTGCTGTTTCCTCTGCTCCTTGCTCATCATTGGCCGGCCCAAAACAGCATCCTGCATCCTGCAGCAGACCACATTTGGAGTTGTGTTCACTGTGGCTGTTTCCACTGTCTTGGTCAAAACAATTACTGTGGTGCTAGCCTTTAAGGCCACTGCTCCAGGCAGAAGAATAAGGAAAGTGTGACATCAGGGGCCCCTAACTCCATCATCCCCATCTGTACCCTGATCCAACTCACTCTCTATGGAATCTGGATGGGGACAAATCCACCCTACATTGACACAGACCCACACTCTGAACATGGCCACATCATCATCGTGTGCAACAAGGGCTCCCTCACTGTCTTCTACTGTGTCCTGGGGTATCTGGACTCCCTGGCCCTGGTGAGCTTCACTGTGGCTTTCCTGGCCAGGAACCTGCCTGACACCTTCAATGAAGCCAAGTTCCTGACATTCAGCATGCTGCTGTTCTGCAGCGTGTGGGTCACCTTCCTGCCCATGTACCACAGCAGTAAGGGGAAGGCCATGGTGGCCATGAAGGTCGTCTCCATCTTGGCCTCCAGTGCAGGGCTGCTGGGCTGCATCTTTGCCCCCAAGTGCTACATTATTTTGTTAAGGCCAGAGAGAAATTTTCTTCCAGGTTTCAAAGCTAAAACACATTCTGGAAGAAAGCAGCTTTCTTAAATTAAAATTATTTTTTTCTGAAATATATCTACTGTCTGAGATAATTTTGCATCATTTTCCAGTCTTATAATTGGTAGTTTGGGATTTACTATAATAAAGAACACATTTACTTTTTAACCATTTTTATACTTGTTCTTATTGGTAGCTATCACATTTTTCAATTTGGAATTTCACGCTGGACTTTTTTTCTCTTGATTCTGTAACCCAGCTTACTGTTTGGGCTCAAAGTTGATTACATCATTACTCTTTATTTTGATTTCCACTAGAATTTCTCAATGCTATTATGGATTTTAATACACTAACTTGTATTTGTAAAAAATATTCCTGAACTTCTTATCATGTTTAAGAATTTGTTTCACATTGTTGTTTTAATATTCCAGAAATTACTGTTTATATATCATAACAAACACTCTTGTATTTGAGTAGGGGAGATCTTAAAGTTATACTTTTAATTCAGGGGTGGTCTTATTAGTGTTTACTACTGGCTTTTCCTGTGTATAATTGTATCAATCTTTCCATGTAACCTTGTTTGGTAATCTTGTGTCAATATGAATCTTGCCTCTATGTATCCAGTTTCTGTGTTATACACATTTTTAATATGAATCGGTCGGGAACAGACCCCATACTGTGTGGCTGCACTCATGTCGGAGTGCAGGGTGGGGGCTTCCTAGCTGGTGAGGATATTGCAGTAAACTGTCCCAGTCCAGGTGTGCAAGGAGAAGCAAATAGGGATAAGGGGAAAGGCCATCCTGCAGCTGGCTGAAGGGAGTCAGGTGCTGCTTCCATCACCAACTCATGGGGGCTGTGTATTACTTTCAGTGCCTGAAATAATAGTCCCATTCAAGCTGAGAAAGTCTTGTGCTGAAAAGTAAACTCTGTTCTGTTATGATGGCTGAAATCCACGTTGGCCCAGTTAGCATGCATTGTGACCTACTCATTTCTTAAGGGAAGCTATTTGCTTTTCCTAAGATGTTTCTTTTTGAAATCAAGAATGCATATGTATGTCCACAGCAAGAGAACTGTATTAGCGTACCATATATGATAATAACATTTCTTTTTAAGCAAGTCAATTTCTCCAAAAGTCAAAATAAACACTAAGCACTGGGGGCATCTCAGTAGAGGTCAGTGAGGCTAAAACAGGTTGCCCACCAGGCTTTTCTCCACTCAGCACCACGCAGAGTACCAGACCTGGGACCAGAGAGACAAAATAAATCAGAAGAAAGGGAGGGAAAGAACTCGAACTGTATGTACCCAAACATAGCACCAGTGCAAGGACAAAAGAGGACAGTACTTTCAGTCTTAAGACCAAGCATTCATGTAAACTTTCCCAGAAAATTGGGCAAACACATAAAGCACTCAATATATTGAAATCAGCCTTCACTCTTACGAGTACTTGATCAAGTCAAACAGATCCTATGTTAGGAGAAAGTCGCTAAAGTCCAACCAAACATCCTGGGCCCAGTGGGAGAGTCCCAGACAGACTGCACTAAGACCCGGTTCTGAGAAGAAATCACAACACAGCTTCTATTTTTTTTTGCCTCACTAAAGATTACTCTTATTTTTTTTAATAACTAACACACAGCATATATTCTTCTTAGTGGTTAATTGCTGTACAAGATGCGGACTTGAGATCCAATTTACAAACACCATTAGAACAAATCATTCTACTCATTAAGAGAATGTAACTCTATATCTATCCTAACCACTTTGAATACACAGATACAAAATGGATATACATCTGTATACCCCTTTTTTCTAAGTTTCATTATTTGAATATTATAGCTGTGTAAACACAGCAAAATATCTAAAAGGGTCCAGTAGCCCATAATAGCATTCAGTCTTCTGCTTAACTGGCAATGTCAGAAATTATTGACATGAGTACCCCACAGCTCAACATAACATCATGGCTTTACTTCCAATATTTTGTCTTCATACTTTTCTACTAGATGGTTAAGACCAAGGTAAAGCAGGACCTACGCAACAAGAGTAGTAGCTTTTGGGTCTGAGAAGGTCAGTGAAATCCCTTCAGGATTTATCCTGAGATCCTGTACCGCAGACTGTAGAACCTTTGTCAGTGTCAGCCATGTGGATGAGTCACGGCCATTGCTTGGCCATTGTGCTCTCTGTGAAAGCCTGAGAGAGTGTTTTTCTCCATATGACTCTACTTAGGCACACTCTACATCATCGATGACTTTCCTCTTTGGCCCTATAAACTCCTTGATCAGAAAATTTGGGAAACTACCGAGGTACATGACGTTACAGTACAAGTTCTCATATGTCCTGAGTCTTAATTGACCTTAGAAGGTTAGGGCCAAAATGTTGG